TTTATCTAGATAGTAAAAAAGTATTAATAGCATCCAAGTGAACACTAGTTACTCTTCAATGGAGTCTAGTTTTAACCCTTATTTGAAATGAAAAGGAGCCATCATATATAAGAGAAAGGTTAAGTTGCAGCTGGTAAAAATTAATTTTCTTGAAAATGCCAGTATTGACAGATGCATACTTATGTAGTAAAAAAATATAAAAACATCTCAGAGAGTGAAAGTTCAGAGTAGTAGTTTGCTTATGGAGAAAGGAGGAGGACAAAGTGATGCATAGGTGGGGCTTTAGCTGTAATTATTTTATTTGACAGATTTCAAAAGCAAATATGGTAAAAATGTTAATATCTATTAAATTTACAATGTAGTACATAGTGTCTATTATATCAATTTTTAGGTGTTCTACATGTTTGAAATATTTTATAATCAAATTTTAAAAAACAAATATAAAGACTTGTCCAGCAAGACATTAGAAAGGTAAGTGTCCTCAGCTATGTACTTCTTTCACAGAGCACCTGTGGCCCAATTTCTAAAAATAATCTCCACATGGGGAGAGAGTATGTAAGCCTACTCTATACCTATCTGAAATAAGTTTTATTCATGAGACACAATTCCAGTAGAAAATGTAGGATTTGAGTACACTCCTAGAGTTTGTTTTAAAATGATTTACCTTGAAGCACCAAATTTGGACAATCAGTAAGGGAGTAACCCACCCAGGTTTTATGTGTTTACATGTTCTAAAATACCATTTGGTGTCTACTGTCCTCAAACACACCCAGCTCCTCAAGCTTTCAGGCTGGTCCTCGACCCTGTGCTGACTGAGTACATATTGAACTACCAGTCTTTGCGGTTGCTTCTCAAGGGACAGCAGAGTGGTGGTGCTCTCACAAAGGCATGTCAGGAAGACAGGGAGTGAGGCTGGAGGGGAGTGGGGCTGTAGGTCAGGAACAGATGGAGCCCATAAAATTTTACTTTTAAGATTAAACAAGTGTACTTAATGAATATGTAGCAAATGTAAGGCTCAGAAGTATCATTTTTCTCCAGTAAATGCAAATATCCTCCTTCTGACGTTCCTTTGGGAATGGTTTCTGGGGGTGAGTGTGGGGCACTTTTCATGACACCTCTGCCCACCTGAAAGCACAGAGGCTCCCATTGTTCACATACAGTGACTCGAACTCTCCATTTTCACTTTCTTTTCTGTGATAGCTTATAACAGTTAAGGGAATCCCTACATTAACTTTTAGGTATGTAGTTAACACAGAATATAAATGTTTAAGATATATTTCTTATCTCTTTTCTGTCTTTCTCCTTAATATTCAGGTACATTAACTCTGAGATTCTAGGAAAAATAATGCAGACATCACGTTTATCATCTTGAAAACAATAAATATTTGTTAACAATCAGGAAAAACATATGGTTCTAAAATAATATACTTGGACAAATTCTATGTAATCTATTGGATACAACTTTATAGTAGAAAAGTATGTAAAAGAGTAATAAGGTTAAGGTTGATTCTATGTTGCATCTAGATCACTAGTTCTCTTTTTTTTTTTTTTTGAGTTTGAGTCTCACTCTGTTACCCAGACTGGAGTGCAGTGGCTGCTCCCAGCCACCGCAGCCTCGACCTGCTGGGCTCCGGCGATCCTTCCACCTCAGCCTTCCGAGTAGCTGGAATTACAGGCACGCGCTACCATGCCCCGCTGACTTTTTGATTTACTGTAGAGATGAGATCTCGCCAAGTTGCCCAGGTGGGTCTCAAACCCGCAGGCTCAGGCAATCCACTCACCTCAGTCTCCCAAGGCACGGGATTACAGGCTGAGCCACCAAGCCTGGCTGATCACTGGTTCTCAAACAAGGGTAATTTTACTTCCTGGGAGACATTTGTCAACGTTTGGAGACATTTTTGGTTGTCACAATTGAAAAACTCTAGGTGTATCCACCATCCCTTAGAGCCTTACACAGAGCAGGTGTTTAGTAAACTACTGTAGAAAACACACATACAATTGCAAAGTCTTCCTGATAAGACAGATACTGAGAGCAATCCTTTCATCTGCTTAAACTTTAGAGAGGAAAGGGATTTAAATCCCATTGTAAACTTAAAGGTCACCCTAAGAGGAAAAGACTATTAAAAAGGATATTTGGAGAAAAGCTCTGGGGAAAAAATACCTGGCGCTTGTCTCTTTCTCTCCTCCCGACATCCTTCTGATTAAGAGTTTCTAGGATAAATAAAATCACTTCCTTTAACTGTTAGTAACAGCAGAGCCATTTCAACTTTCAGTGAACAATGACAGGCTAAAGGAACAATGACAGCTTGTAATAGTAAGATTCTCTAAACTCTAAGTTCTTCCTTTTTTACAATTTGATTAAATGCTTAATAAATATATACATAGTGAATAATAATAAAAAATGATTGGGTGAGATAACACAGCTGAGATGAAGCTTAATAATGACTAATCTTCCACATTTACATTTTGACTTATTTTATTATTGGTTGTTTACATACCTATATTTCTCACTGAGTATTAAACTACTTATACAGAAACATTCATTCCACAAGAACATCTAATGCCCTTTAAGCTATCTCGTTTCTAAATTATTTTGTGACTGTGAGGCAGCAACGTGTTTCTGAATAGGTAGAACCTCTACATGAGAAAGATGTATGAAGATAGGGTATAAATGGATATATGAAGTTTTTATTAGCCAATAAATTTACAACAAAGTTAATGCCATGCATTTGTTAGTATCAAAAATTACTACTTGGACACAAAATATTTGAGCCATAAAAGTAAAGAGTTCATGAAAAAAATACCATAAATTATATTTTATGAACATAGTCAGTCTAGAAAAAACTCCCAGTATTTCCCTTAAAGTTACTCTTCAGTTGTTATAATCATTGTCAATGCTGATAACGTGTCTCTCAATTCTCCTTCTCACAAATATACACACACATGAACACACACAATATTTATATATATGACACACATACTTGTGTTAAAAAGTGCTGGATCTGACTCCCCAAAACCAGAGTACCCATTGCCCCCGAGCCTCTCTGTCCTTTGTTATACAGTTATCATTCTCCATGCCTTTTTTTCACCATTGTCTTGCCATGTCCTGTTCCCTTATCTCCCTGCCCCCAGCACTCCAAAGGCACATGTCCTATCTGAGAGGTTCAATGAACAATAGTGTGTGAAGGATAAAGAGTCACTTGTTCTGTGAGAAAGGCTAGTTAATTCCTCTCTCCAAGCCTCAGTTTCTTCCTAGGCATTACACTTTTTACCTACTGGGATTGCTATGAGATTAAAAGACATAATGTATATAAAGAACTTGCCAAATCTCTGGTGTTTAACACATGCTTTTTTTTGTGGCTCCTCATTCCTTAGCCAGTTCCTAAAGGACTTGAGGTCATATAACTATGGTCTGCTTCTGTGGACTAAAGATAACATATCTACCTGCCTAATTACCTTTAATAGAAAAAAAAAATCTTTCATTCTACAATTAGAGCTAAGAGACTTAAAATGCAAATAGGATGGATAGGACCCACACTGGCTGAATATGGAAGGATTTCACTTGAAATGTAAAGAATGACATCACACTATTTTGTCTTGTTTTGGAACAAGGATAAGAAATTAGAAGGGCTTGGGCCTAGTCATGAGATATGAGGAACAGGAAGAAACAAAATGCAAGACTGGCAAAACCACAAATCTCCTTACATCACAATTTTGCTGTGGGCCTATTCTGTTGAGCTTCCAACAAACATAAAAACACAAAACAAAACAACCGAGGCCAAAAGTCTGTTATATCCTTAGGAGCACACATAGTAGTAGGGATGGTTTTGTTCAAGTCTTGAATTACAAAGCAAATAAAAACTTTTATAAATGACTAAATTACACAATTGTTGACTGGCTTATCTGCAAGACTATTATCAATCAGTTGATGAAACACAGTACCATTCTATGAAAAACTCAACTTAACTTAGAGAATGGTATTCTCAATTCAAACAAACAAACAAACAAACAAAAGAACCCAGAGTTGGTACAACCAAACACACCACTAGCGTGTCATGAAGCAGTTTGTTCCAAAAAAACTAGCACATATGTCTACACATACGCTCAGGCAGAGGCCCTAGGGTACTCTCAGGTTCTCTATGGAGCACTTATATACATTTTCTCACTTAATCTCCAACAGACCTTATGAAGTGTATCCTATTAATATTTCTGCATTTTACACACTAGTATACTGAGCTTTAGAAGTGATGCATAAAGCTAATCACAGTCATATAGCTAATAACAGAATCTAGATCTAATTCATGATTTTAAATAATATACTATATATTCCATATATTCAGTCATCTATTTTGCTTTTCATAAAAATCTCCAAAGAGCCAAAATCAAACATCTCTTTCAAAGACTTGTTAATGTCTCAGGAAGAAGACTATTTTTTTATTTTTTTGAGTTAGATTCTCACTCTGTCTCCCAGACTGAAGTGCAGTGGCACGCTCCCAGCCACCGCAGCCTCGACCTGCTGGGCACTGGGACCTTCTAGGCACTGGCGATCCTTCCGCCTCAGCCTTCCAAGTAGCTGGAACTACAGGCGCGCACTACCACACCCGGCTAATTTTTTATTTATTGTAGAGACGAGGTCTCGCCAATTTGTCCAGGCGGGTATTAAGCCACTCACCTCAGCCTCCCAAAGTGCTGGGATTACAGGCTGAGCCACCGAGCCTGGCCGGAAGTAGACAATTTAAAAAACTTTTAAGATGATCAAGAAATAGTAAAAATTTGTTAGCTAATGTTGAAAACATTTCTACTAAGTAGATATGCTAACAAAGTTTTAATAGCTACCATTTTACTGCTAGGAGACAAATTTCTATTTAAAAATTAAAATAATCAAGTGAATACTCCTTTATAGGGGCAAAGGCCAATTGTATTTTTAAAGCAGTTCCTTGGAAATCCTAGGAAATCAAATTTTCCAGAATTCACACAGAAGGATAATACCACTAACTTACTTTGACCTGAGGGTAGGACTTCTTGTTCTTTTCACTAGATGCACCTGGTAGTCCACCATGGGATGGGCCTTCACATACGTAACGGAAACGAAATCCTCTCTGCAAAGACGAACATTGAACCAATCAGTTTGAGAAACAGTTACTAAAAATTATAGTGACAAAGATATAAACAAATTTCAAGATCTTTTGTGTACTACATGAGAAAAGAAAAACATGAAACCATAAAACTGCAAAAGAGGACTCTGTGCGAATGACTTTTCCCATAATCTTATTATGAAAATGATATTAATTCATACTTAAACACTGAGATGTGGCTGAAGAGCCAGGTACCTAAGCCTGTGGAACCTCTCATGCTGTGCTTATGTGGAGAGTAAACTGTTGAAGAGTTTAAGCCTTTGGACTCAACATGCTATGGCTTGTTTGATTCAGAGATTCCTCATATCAAATTGCTGCTGCCAAGCTCTGAACTCTGCCTTATTACAAGAAGGTATGCTTCTTTGACTCTTAGTTAAAGGAAATCCTTTATCTACTCTGATTACACTTGGTTCAGGAGTGTACAGATCATACAGAAGTGTCTTTTAAAATATATTGCAGTGTGTGGAACACATCTTATGCTAGACCCTGCATCTGGTAAGCTTCTTACAACAGCTCAGAGGATAAGATTTTTGAATTTATGATTATTGACATGATCAAGCTCAAGCTTGAATATTAACTGACCTGAAGGAATTCCAGACCAGATAGTTCCCTTAAATACTATCTGACCCTGGAATTTTACAGATGTAGTTAATTAATGAAGAGTTGCTGGAAGCCTTTACTAGCTAAACTACTGTGGGCTGATGAGTGCCTAAATGCCATTATTTTTTTCATCTATAGAAGACCACTTTTCTTCTTTTTTTTTCTGAGTTGGAGTCTCACTCTGTTGTCCAGACTGGAGTGCAGTGGCCGCTCCCGGCAACTGCAGCCTCGACCTGCTGGGCTCCGGCGATCCTTCTGCCTCAGCCTTCCGAGTAGCCAGAATTACAGGCATGCGCTACCATGCCCGGCTTTTTTGATTTATTGTAGAGATGAGGTCTCGCCAAGTTGCCCAGGTAGGTCTCGAACCCGCGGGGTCAGGCAATCCACTCACCTCAGCCTCCCAAGACATGGGATTACAGGTTGAGCCACCGAACCCAGCTCAAGAAGACCACTTTTAAGGTCTACTCCAGTTCTAACTTTTTATGATTTATAAAGCTAACTTAATTATGCATATTTGTATACAAAGAATAAAACATGAATAATCATGCAAATACTTCACCATCATATTAAGGGAGATTTAACTGTATTTCCTAAAATATTCAACGTTATCATGACATCAATCAATCTATGGTAGTGTTAATAGTTTCTAACTGTGCAGTCACTTAGCAGATGGTTTTCTTTTTTCAAATTTACCCTTGGGTGAAAAGAACAATATGTTAACATCTTTAAGGAACACCCTCATCTTTCATTTATTTTTACTGTAGGACTAACTTCATATAAATAACACTAGATCATTTGGCCATCAGGAACTCCCCACACCTACTACTTGCTCTACCTTCCTCTTAAAATTGTGGAACCCTGGCTGACATGAAGGTTTTAATAGCTTTGAGCTCATGGCCCAATGTAAAATCTGTGCCCTCCTCAGACTGTACTACATTTCACTATACTTCATAGTCATAGTCTCGGAATGCTCCAGGTGCCTTGTAATCATTTAAATCTCTAGGAAGCATCTGGAGCTGTCTTTATATTCTCTGAAGACTTCCTGATTTCCAAAGATTGGTCCTAAAACATATTTTCCTGGATGAGTAAGGCCTGAAGTAAATTTCTTTAATCTGGGAAACTTTCTCAATGCACACATGGATCTGCGGTGTGTGATCAACTCATCAAAGTAAGACAGAAAATAGCTCTTACATACAGCTCCTCAGGAGATTCCAAATCTAAATACTAGGGAAGCATTCTGAGGTGAGGTTTTGGGGGTAATCCCGTTGTCTTTCTTTTCACAAAACTGAATTTTTTCAGTTTTGCCTTTTGTAAGCAAAAACTGTTGGGTTATTTTTAACAATTAAATGAAATTTCTAAAACCATAACAAAGTAACACATGTATCTCCAGAACTGGCTAACCTAAAAGGTAAGAAATTACTTGACTGCTAATCAATTTAAAAACAACTTCAGTTTTTAAATGGTATTAGATCATTAACACTGACTAATACATAACAAAACTGGGTATTCTAAAAATTAGTAGTCTATGCATGACTCATCTTTGTCAGAGCTTCAGAAAGTCTGTGGCAAAGAGGTGCTGAGGAAAAAGAACATTTTTCTAACTTAAAAAAATTTAATAAAGCAATCATTTTTAATCACAAAATTCCTTTGTGACTGAAATTCCTTTGGATTTTCAGTGTTGGAAAAATATATACATGTTTATATCTTATTGGAAATAGTATCAAATAGACTATAAGGAAATAGGCAAGTCTTTGTTTTATTTTAAAGGTGTAGGGTATAATTCAAGTTAGACACAAAAGTGGCCATTGCACAGGTGAAGTCTGGGCCTCCCATTGGTCCTCACTTCGCCTGGTTTAGGATCAGGTACCCTTACTGATGCTATGCACACCCCCCAATCCCATGGCAGTGTCCCACTACTGCCAACCCCTTTCTTGTATTATTATCATACATGTTCAGGGGCCACTTCTGAGTGAGAATATGTGATACTCAGTTCTTTGTTTCTGTGATAGATCACTGAGTATGATAAACTCTAAATCTATCCCAGTTGTGGCTAAGTCCATAATTCTGTCCTTCTTTATGGCTGTGTAATATTCCATCGTGTATAACAAAAACAGGCATATCTTAATAGTTTGCTCATAATTTGAAAAACATCCAATAGATAATTTTCTTGGTTGCATAAGAGTATCTAAAGTTCTATGCAAAAAAATATTTAATCTGAGGACGAAAATGTAGAACCCAGGAAGGTACCATGTCTTCAAATGCATCCTCTGAAAACGTTTCTATTCTAAATTTCTGAGGTGAAAGTCTTGCCCATCGACAGTCATTCATCTCAGTAACTCCATTAGCTTAAAATGGGTCATCAACCTCAAAGGGAAGGCTACATCCCTCCAGTCAGAAAGTCTGACAAATACAACCTCTTACTTTCACTGAAGTCAGACATCAGAATAATACTAGTTTGGTAAATAAACCTTGTTTCATTCACATAAGCTTTTATGCATCCACACATAATGAATTCAATTCTGAACTCTGGAACTATATTAACACTTCAGGTAAGTCATAAATGTCAATTTTGCCTTATGACTGCTGAGTTCATGACAAGGAATTGCATTTTAATAATCTTATTGTAATGCTATACTTATGAAAATGGATATTTGAACAGATACTTTGGTATATAGACAAATAAATTTTAGTTGATTTCTGTCTCGTGGATTACCCAGATCTTACAAGCTAGGAAATTTTCCACGGTGCCAGATCAACGGTATGATTCTTCAAGGGATAAAAGTCCACTGGGAGGGTCTTTGAGATAATTGGTGACCTCCTGTGAGAAATCACAGCTACAGAGTTGGACATGGAGGCAAAACAAAAGAAAGCTTCGCTGGCAGCCTGTGAAGTCAGGAAGTGCCATCTGTAATTTAGAGCAATGTTCCAAAGTCCCATGTGGCATTCCTCTCCCCACAACAAAAATGTTCATCTAATTTTAACTTTATAAGATTAGTCTGTTAACTATCAAGGTATTTATATTCTTTAAATGCTGACGAAATCTAATAAATATAAACTGTTATGATTCTGGAAACTACAAAGCAGTGGATTCTTTAAGTTATTGACTTAATAGCATTTGTTAAATGTAACAAAATGCAAAAGTGTTAACACTCACTGAGCTAATACAAAGAACACTTAGGAAAGGCATTGGGTAACAGTAGTTTTTCAAATGTGGTAAGTTCAGCCATTCAGAGTCAGAGATATACTGACTCTGTCCTCGTTCTGTGGGGGAATTCTGTGAGGAACTATACCATTGCTTCTCCTAATGACTGAAATCTCCTATAGGCAGATACTAAAGATTCTCTCTTCTCCTCTTTCATAGCATTGTTCTCATACAATTTCCTGTAAATATCCACAGAGTTGGGACATGGTAAGAAGGCCATTTCAATTTTGATGTAGCCTCTACAGAATCTAGTGCTAAGAGGAAGAGCCTAAGAAGATAAAACTCTCCTCTCCTGACTCCAAAGAGGCTGGCTCTACAGTTAACACCAGAGAAAAGGCAATTCAATAGTTCACTCTAATTCTTTACCTCCCTCTGGTACTTTTATCACATTAGGTGATATGCTTAAAGACAGCACAGAAAAGTCTGCAGCTGTCACAGGAATGGGGAAGGTTTAGAGGTACTACACATTCATGGGCGCAATTGATGAATGTAGCTCAGTGCAGGTGAAAGGCATGTATATGTATTTTGTAATACATGAAAATGAATGAAAATAAGCTGTCTTTCCTGGGAGTGGCTGGTAAACTAAGCTAGTAGAGATAGCAGAATACCAAGGTTCTAGAATTAGCTGGAGTTTTACAGAACGATGAATTGAGGCTCAAGATAGTTTGAAGAATGACTAAGAGAAATGTAAAGTGAATGAATATAGTTGTTACATAATTTGGCAGGTTGTTGGTCTTCCAGATAAGCTACTTCCTTCATAAAATTTATTTACTGTTATTCAGTGCTTGAGATTTTAATATTAGATGCAGGGATCCAATATTTGAAGAAAAAGTCCCACCCCTTTAATCTGCTTACCTGTTTAGGTTGCTCTAATATTTGAAGGTATGGGCCATCTGCTAAAAACAGAAACAACAAACAGAAACCAAAAGAAACTGTGAGCCTTCTCAAATTTGATATAAAAAGCAAAGCAAGTCCAAAACTGAAATTATGTTTTGATACAGAAGTTTCAAATCAATTTTTAGATAAAATTCCACAAGGATACAATTTCTCTCCTCATTTAAAATATTAAATGTATCCTATTTTAACAACACGTTTACAGTTTTAGAGAACCACAATAAACAAATGTTTTTTGAATGGTGATGGCACATTGCCCAGCCCAACAAAAGGCATGATATGATGGCTGACAAGAATAAAAATGGCAACAGTCTTCACAATCTTGTCTTCTAACAAAGCATTTTAAAATGACAAATACTAGTTAAAAGCAGCAACCACTTCCTGGGCACTATGTCATTTTCTTTTGCCTTCACATCATTGAACACTGACTTTCACTCCTCAAAGAGAATGGGTTTAATGTGAAGTAAAAAGAGACTGAGATAGCAACTTGCATGTGTGAAACAAATACTGAGCTCAGGCTACCTGTTTTTCCTTACATGAAATTTTCTGTACCTTTCCTTACCTAAATTCATAAGGACAGTTTGTTCCCCTTCTCTTCCCCCACCCACTTTAATTTGGTCTATCAGACATGGCGAACTTTTCTTATTAATTCACAGTTTTTGGTGTTTATATAAAATTTTTGAATATTGTGCTGTCATGTAAACTCTGTCCTTAAACAACCTATGTATTATATACAATGCTGAAAATAGCTTAATTGAAGATAGGTACATACAAATTAATTGTTGTAAAAACATAAAGAAAACCAGAGGTTTAATGCATGCCCCAACTGACTTGAAACTTCAAAGGAAAATCAGAACCTCTGACAACATAAATACAAATTTGTTCAATATGAAAAAGTCTCTAAACTCCCCAGCTGGTTTTTATGTCAACAGTACAATAACCCATAGCTCTGCAATAAATAAAAACATATGGTGTTTCTCATTTGTTTGAATGTAATTTAAGATGTTTAGTACATAGCCGGGCTCGGTGGCTCAGCCTATAATCCCGTGCCTTTGGGAGGCTGAGGTGAGTGGATTGCCTGAGCCCGCGGGTTCGAGACCCGCCTGGGTAGGCGAGACCTCAGCTCTACAATAAATCAAAAAAATTAGCCGGGCGTGGTAGCACGCACCTGTAATTCCGGCTA